CGTTAAAGATCACTTGGTGGTCTAAAATCCCGTATTGGGGAGGCTTCGGCCGCCACCCGGGCAAAATTCAAAATTTCCTACCAACTGAAAATATTAGGTGTGTCCCGCGCGCTCATATGACCTTATGCAGTTGCTAGGGCCGTAAAACACTTTACAAAAACAAAAAAACAAACTAACAACTGGCAGTTATAGTGTATGTTTGACTGTTTGTTTTATCAATTAAGTATAAAATTTATTCGCGGCACTAACAAATTGCAAAGAACATTAGATAATACAAAAGCCACCCTAACAACCTCACTCTCAAGCTTAAAATCAACAGGAAGTTCTTCTCATACCACTCTACCCCTGCCACCCCCCAAAAAACCCCAACAACAACCCAACAGAATCCAAACAAAACAAGCAACCCCCCCCCCCCCCCCCCAACAACAACATCAAAATTAAGAAAAGCAAAAAAGCAAACAATCAACAAAAACAAAAACAAAAACAAAAAACAAACTGCTGTTACTTGGAACGTCTTAAAGCTTGTTCACTTGTCTTTATTTGGATGAAAAAAATATCCGTTTATCTTAAATACAAGTCGAGATATTTGTGAATGAAGGAGGTGGGGGTCACCTGTTTTCAGAGGTAAAATTAGTGAGAAAATGGCTGAAAAAGATTCGTTTTTTTCTTTAGCTTAAGAGTCCGTGATAACTGAAAATGTATATCTTTTGTTCCTTTAATCGATGTTTTTCAGTAAAATCCACACATAAATGAGTTCTTCAATGGCCATAAAAGGTGTTGAGCCCAAAAACAAAAATTTGATAAAAATTCACAAACCTGCGGAAAAATGCAAGTTTCTTCACTTTTATTATTTTGACGAGAGCCTGATTCCACCACGCTGCTTCACAATGTTTTAACACTACTAACCTTCTGTCTGCCTGCGCCTACAACAGGAGTTAGCCACACCCGTTTTTCTCTGTGTTGTGATCCTTTCCTCAGCTTTGGGGCCCCGATGCGTTGGAATCTCACACGTTACACACAAATAAACCGAGGCTCTAACTTGCCTTTTCTCCACCTATACTCTCAGCAGGCCTCCTCTGCTTTGCTACACCTCTCCCCTCTAAAATCTCACCTGTAGTAACCCAGACTGCTTTTATAAACTTGCAAACAATACAACTGAACTGAGACTCACACTTTACTCACTCTCACACTTTCAGCCAAACAATACAATAGGCTAGGCCTAACACCCTGACACAACCAAAAATAACCAAATAGACCACACAAACAAGCAATCAACCCCCCCCCCCAAACAAAAACAAAACAAAACAAAAGAAAAAGCTAACCGACACTGCTCCCCCACCCCCACAAGTCCCTCCCGCCATGGCCATGGCAATATCTACAAAGTCCCACAACACTGAACCTAGACTATCCACCAAGCTGCCTATCTCTACAGCTCCACTGCGTCACTTTTAGCCTGAGTGTGATCTACGGAAATAGAAGCAACAGAGCATCATGAGACCGTATTGCCGTATTGACCAGAAAAGTGGCTAGACCTTCTGATGTCACCAAACTTTGTACTGAAAGTGAGGAGAAAATCGTCTCGTCATCTATCTAAATGAGTGACCTTGTATCTAAGCGACTTCTTCACAAAATCTCCAGTTGGACATCTTACAATAAATGTTGTTATCTTGAGGAGTCTTTTTTGGTTTCTATGGCACTATCAACAAAATTTCATATTTGAGAAAAAAACAACAACTGCCCTGTCATATTCTGTTAAAGTTGTCTTTGGATTTTATATAATTGACAATTCAGACTGTTTTTTTTTATACACTCAATCACACCGTAGTCACTGGTCGGTGAAACTTTTCCGTTAAACAAACCAAATAGTGTCCTGATGGGTCAACAACGAGAGGTCAGAGCTAAGTCAAGATACGAATACTAAAGGGACAATAACGTGGGGGTGTCAGTAGAGGAAAATATTTTTCCTGCGATATAGAAGAATATAAAAAACTAAACTGTTGGTTTGCCAGCTTTCTCAGAAAAAAAAAATCAGACGTTGGTTTGAGTAACTAAATTTGAGAAAAGCCAAGTAGGCCTACATACATGCAGCAATCGTCACTTAGTACATGTAAAAAATGAAAACAGAGAGAAAAGGTACCCCCCGGGGCAGTGCCACTGACTGTAGTGACTCCCCCGGGGCAGTGCCACTGACTGTAGTGTCTTTAGACCATTCCCAAAGGGGGGACATTTCTCGTTCACGCACAGTAGAATTGTAAATGGGCTGATTCATCATGTCACGCTCATAACTGTGCCTGATCTACAACAGGGAACTGCTGCTTTTTCTTCCCTAATCCTTACTATTGCCATTTCCCTCTACTTCTTTTGTATGTTTGTCACTCTCTTGTGACCTGCTATTTTGGGGTGCCTTGATAGTCGAAGCAGACCTCGTGCTGTTGAAGTTAGAGAGGTGAGCAGTCTAAGTCTGATTCCCTGTAAAGACTACTTTGTTGACACCCACCTCTTGGCGCTCATATGACCTTATGAAGTTGCAAGCGCCGTAAAACCCTCTAGATCTACTACAAGAAAAGAGAAAAGGTAAAAAAAAATATCGACACGCCACTGGCATCCTCCACCCACGCACAATAAGAAATAGCGGTAAAAGTTTTTAATCGGGTGCTGCCGAGACAATTTCATATCCGATTTTCTTATCACTGATTAAAAGGACGGACAGACATTTGTGAGGCAGCGTGGTGGAATCAGGCTCTCGTCCATTTTTTGGGCATGTAGAGTTATTGGTATCATTTTAAAGCTTGTTCAGTGGTCTTTATTTGGATGAAAAAAGTATCCATTTATATTGAATACAAGTCGAGATATTTGCGAATGAAGGAGGTGTGGGGCACTTGTTTTCAGAGGTAAAATTATTGAGAAAATGGCCGCCAAAGAGTAGTTATTTTCTTGGCTTAAGAGTCCTTGGTAACTGAACATTTACATTTTTTGTGCCTTAAATCAACGTTTTTATTAACAATCTACACAGAATTAGTTCTTTAATGGTATTAAAGACATTGGAAAAACTGGAATGGGTTTAATGCCTCTATCAACACTATTAGGTTATATAAGAGGCGGGACCTCCGAGTTTAACGTCCATGTCAGAAAGGACCGATCCAAATAGGATCCAATTCGGGACACACAGACAGAAACAACAGAGGTGAAGTACAGAAGAGGACCTTACTTTTCTAAAACAAGGATCTTTCTTGTATCAAGAATATTAACAATATTAAAGACTAAAGTCTAAAGGTGTTGAGCCAAAAAACAATTTTTAAAAAATTGACAAACCAGCGAAAAAAATGCAGGTTTCTTCATTTTGACTATTTTGACGAGAGCCTGATTCCACCACGCTGCCTCACATTTATAAATGTCTGCCAGCAAATATGTATACACCTTCTCAATTTCTAATTCTAGACCAGTGGCGGTGGGTAGTGATGGTCTCACGGGCTTGAGCCCCCCTCCCCACCCCCCAAGTCTATCCCAAGTCAAATGAAAATAACGAAATAATCAGTTGAAACAGTTCTGATCGACCGCAATGAACACAGAGTGATAAACTAGGCGGCTTGCTCGTTTATCCAATCACTGTTGTCCCCGCTTACAACTATAGTAACCTAACAGCCAATCAAATGTCTTTAGGGCTCAGCAATCAACCAGCCCATTCCCACGGTCTCTCCTTAATGAAACCCCTCTTGTAAAAAGGTAGAAGACTTTAAAAAAATAACACTGCACAGAGGGCTCACGCTCTCCCAGCCTTGGCAATGGGGTACAAGTTTACGACACACTTTCCCCCAGTGACACAGTTACCTATGCGCCCATTGGGCCTTTGTTAGGCGTGTTCTATTTTCTGCAACAACACGACCTTATCCACCTCATACACGGTGTGTGGAGTACTGTGTGTTTGTGTCGCTGAGATTTAACAATAATCAAATAAAAACTAATTAGAGAAATTTGGAGGTGAAACGGCTTCGTCCCCACCATCCAGAAGAATTTAACGTAGAACAAAGAGATGGCAGACAAAGGTGACTCTTCTCGTTTGAATGGTTCTCAAAATGCCGTGGCTCGCCGTGAGTATAGAAAAATCATCACTGTTTTGTTCTTATTGCTTGCTTTTTGGTGGTAAAGAAGTGGAAGAAACCTAAGCCCCACCCAAATCTAGGTTCACCCACCGCCAGTGTTCTAGACCTTTACAAAAACAAGTTTTGTTTCAGTAAGGAAAGCACATCGGAACAGTAATGGTCATTTATTTTAGTGCTGAGAAAAGTAAGACACACAGACAGAAACAACAGAGGGAAAGTTCAGAAACGGGACCTTACTAAAAGAAGGATCTTTCTTGGGTCAAGAATATTAACAATGGCTTTCATGCTGCAACATCTTAATATACGTATATTTAAATTGACACATTCTTTTAAAATCAGCTTCGCAGAAGAATAAATGTGGCATGCCACGCTGATAGGAGTTTCTTTTTCTTTTTTCCATGAGGAGATGTCTTAACTTCACATGTGTGTGCCCAACGTTGTGTCCTTGGGAAAGGCACTTTACACGAAATTCCCATTTGGATCTGTCCTTTCTGACATGGACGTTAAACTCGGAGGTGCCGCCTCTTATATAACCTAATGGTGTTGATAGAGGCGTTAAACACATTCATTAGTGGTGTCGGTGGCCCAGTGATTAGGCTCTCGGACTCGCAACCGTAAGGTCGTGGGTTCGAATCCCGTCAGGGACCCGACGTTGTGTCCTTGGGAAACGCACTTTACACGAATTTTCCTCACTTCACCCAGGTGGGAATCCCGTCAGATAGACAGCTATAGACAGCGAAAGAT